TTGTTTCGTACAAGCTCTGTGTGAGCAGCGCTTGGTACGCAAACACAGGTCGTATTGTCTTGAGATATAGACCAGTTCTTTGTTCTCCTTCTAATTGTCCATTTATTCTCGCGGTCACATTCTTCTCTCCGCTTTCAAATCAGTATTGCAAATGGATGTCCAAGTACCTAAGAAGACGACCAAGCAACCAAATCTTACCGCCGATCCGTATGTGTTAGCACACAGATACTGGGAGTATCTCGCAGAGAATCCAAGGCGCAAAGGAGAGAAATGGAACACCTACTATTCGAACTTACTCGCTAATCAGCCTGATCCGCATGTGGATTCGATGACCGATCGCGCTCGAGCTATCCGGTATGCAAAGGAACACCATGAATGTTTCTATGAGGTCCGCGATCTCAAGCGCATTGTCGAGTGGTTGGACAAGGCATCGGCAACTTCGCAGAAATGATCGCTACTGCAGCCATCAACACCTCAACTGATGTATCATCGGTGTTCTTTGTTGCATATGCGAGAGTAACGCTGCCTCAAAGCAGGGTAGCTGTAGCGGCCTCTGCTCACCAACACTGCTTAGCCTGCGCATGACCTTCACAAAAAACGCCACAGGAGCCGCCTTTCATACGCCACTGGAATGTGGGAACATTTCCAGATTGAAAATGCTGCTATTCGGCGTTGTACAGATCCATCACCGTTGCATTCCAGACCTTCATCACCAAATCCGGAAACGAAGTAACGAAGTTCACCACATTGGCATCATCAACAAGAAGAACAAAGTAATCTTCCGAAAACGTTTTTTGATTATTTCTAGGCCGTAGAATTAAGCATCTCTTTCACTATCATGCTGTAGTGCTCGCATGCGGCCATGTCTGAATTCTACATAAAATGCATATACGCTCGCAGACATACCTTCCATCATTCTGTTCGTGAAAAGAATACTTTCGAAGTCGTATTGCAATATTTTCAAACCTTGAATTCGTAGCTACTGAAGCAGATAAGCGATCTTCTTCTTATCTCATTCTCTCCAACACTCAGTCTCGTCGCAGGCCTCGCAACAATGGCTTATCACGCGCTCAGCAGTGGATCTGCCTACAACGCCACATCCACAAGGATACTCACCGAGTCGACTACTCTTACCAGCACTATCACTGCGTCTAGATCTCACTACCCACCACCCAAGGACATTGTCGGTCCCATCGAAGGTCTCGATGAATGCTCCGTAAGCTACCCCCGAAGTTATCCCTCATAATCCAAAGGAGGACATGAATTAATATGGCATCCAAGCAAACCATCGTCTTCGAATACCTCGCCAACAGTAAATGCAACCCCGCGGACTTTCCCTGCATCTGCAACGAGCTCAAAGCCCTCGGTATCAGCGGCAAAGTCGGCGCCAAATGTTCCAAGAACGTCCTCGACCAATACGTCCGCTTCCAAGACGACGTCTGCCGCGGCGTATTCCCGCCTACTACGCCGTCTAGCATCATCATCACGCCCTCGATTAGCAATAAGCCTACACCAGCACCGGTTGTGAATACCACTACTATCATTAATGGAACAACGACTGTACCAGTTCAGGTCACGAGTGTTGTGGTGATTACGACGAAGAGGCCGGATGGAAAGCCGACGGTTGCCCCGGTTGTGCCTACTATTCCTATTGCGGCTCCGCCGCCGGCCTATACAGGTGGTGCGAGTGCGATGGAGATGGGTGCCTTGGCGGGTATGGTCGGTTTCATGGGACTCGTGTTTGTGGGACTGTGAGATGAATGGTAGTGTCGATGTGGAAGGTGGTCTGTTGACACTTACTTGATTTCTTTCTCTTTGGGTTTCCTTGCGTCATTTTTGGGTGGGTAACCGGTCTTGATGATAATGTGTAATTTCGATAGAATGAAACCATGAAAAGCCCTCACATCTTGTTGCGGATTGCACGTTCAAGGTGCTGTTGGTATAGCCATGAAATTATGTGCTGCCTATCATAAATCCCAAACACCCAGACCTCTAGTGGTATATAATTCGCCCAAATATCTCTCATTGTTCCCCTTCTACCATAACGCCATGTACCTAAATCCAAAATCATGCGTCCGATCCCTCGCCAGTCTCACACCACTTCTTGAAATCCTTATTGTACCCTTCCCAGTTCTTCTCTGTCTTCTTCCCCATATCACCCAACTGCTTCGCAACGAAGCTGCCACCCATGAGCCACGACAGTGCGCCGGTAAACGTCTCCTCCTGCACAAATGTAGTACCACCAGGAGTCTTGGTGCTGGGCGTAAAGTGGAAAGTGTGTGCGCCCGAGAAGATGTAGGGTAGGGATCCCAGCCAAGTGAAGGCTTCAGGCTTGTTAGAGATTATGGTGCCTTCCATCTTGCCCATACCGACGAATACTATGCGTATTTTTTGCTTGGGTTCGAGAGGACCGAGAGGGGTAATGGAGGTAAAGAAGGAGGAGTGGTATTTTGGTAGGCTGGCGAAGTCGAGAAACTGTGGGATACTGTTATTTGCCGTGCTTATGTGGGTGAAGAATGGTAGTGAGATGATGTACCTTTTCACGAACGACTTGCGGCGGGCAGGCGATCTCAATACTGGCGGTGGTAATAGGCATGATGGTTGAGATTATAAAAGGATGTGGCAGGGATTAAGATATTTTGGTGTTGTAGCGCAGTGCGTGACAAGAGAAAGCTTGAGATGGGGAACAATAGATATAGGGCTACGATGATTGGATCGTGAGAGGTAGCTTTTGTAGAGGAAGCTCAGATGATGCTGATGTGAAAAATAACATGCGGACATCCTCAAAGATATATATACACTACCGTACGGCCGACACGGAGCAAAACACAGCTCTTACTGCTCCTTACCCAGTTCATCATGTACCGGCGATTGAGATTCGGCGACTACTTTTGTCCGGGACCGACCTTGAATATCGATTGAAACGTGGTAGATGAATGGCGGTGTTCGTGGTTGACTGGGGTGATTCGCGCAATGAGCCGCAAAGGGTATAACGCGTGGCATCAGGCCCCCCACTTGACACACGACAGGGGTTGCCACTACCATCAACGGATGCTTCTACCCGCAGCCCTCCATGCTGGTAGATGGTCGCGTCGGCGTAACGAGATGCGGCTATGGTGAATGTAGGTGGCCGCTCTAAAGGATGCTCGTCCTGCCGTCGGAGGCGGGTGAAGTGTGGTATGTCACGAGCGCAGGCTTACAGTACCACTTTAACCTTTCGCAAGATCTCAATCGCCCGACTTGCCTACGTTGCCAAAGGGCGGGTCTGAACTGTGATGGACCGAGAGAAGCTACCTTCGTCGAGGCTAACATTGTATCCTCGAGAAGAAAAGTTGATTCGCCTCAAACTAGCCCTGCTCCAGCCTCGACCACATCAGATACAGATTCCCCAGGGAACGCTGTGATTCTACACCCATCCGTAGCGATATCAGAAACGCCACAGAAGCTGTATATAATGTTCGCACGGTCGCATTTGGCAACGGACGGTCCCGTAGATCGAGTCTTGCAAGAGCTTCGATTAATGGACACAAGCCGTCTTGGGAAAATTACCGGAGGCAGTTGTAAGACTGCGCACTTTCAAGCTGTGTTGAGCTTCTCTACGATAATCTTCGGGACCAAATACGGACAGGCAGACATAACTCGGGACGGCTTCGTGAGCCACGGCACGACATTGCAACAGCTCAATCGAGCGCTTGCAGAACCGAACAGTCACGACTCTGACGAGATCATCGTGTCCATAATTACCTTGGCCATCCAGGAAACACTCGTGCCCTCGAGTCCTAACAATTTCGTGAACCACATGCAAGGCATGGAAAAAATCCTTGCGTTACGAGATCCGACTTTGCCCCAATCACCAAGTACAGTACACCTGTACAAGTGTCTACGTCACATGTTACTTTCGGCAGCATTGATCGGTGGTACACCTACGATCCTCGCCAAGCCTGAGTGGAAGGCATTGCTGCGGGAGCACAGTACGACCGAAGAGCAATTGCAAGAGCAAAGACTATTCGAGATCTTGGCAGACTGCACGGTGCTGGCATCGGAGCGCAACAAGCTGCTCAAAAGGCAGAGAGATGACGGCGAAGATACGTGTGCTCAAATAGGCAGCGTGCGCGATGGCACCGAGAGAGTGTGTATGGAGCTTCGCATTTGGAGAACCGAATGGGGCGCAGATCCTCAAAATGCCTTCATCAAAATGCCTACGACACTAGAATCTCCACAATCGGCTACTGGCGACGACAAAGTTGCATACCCTACGGAAATTGTCTTTACGAGCATCAAATCGGCACAAATGTTTATGCTCTACAACATCACGCTCATGAACCTCCTCATGGTCCTCATCTCGCTTCCACCAAGTCTTGAGCAACGTAATTCGCGATACGAGCTCACTACATTGGGTAGTTCGGCGGTTCTTGACATTTGCCGAAGCATGCCATCTTCCATAAAGGAAGAATTGAGAAAGGAGCTTCATACTTCGCCTGTGGTATATTGGGCTGTTCAGACAGCTAGGATGGTGCTACAAGGCGATGATTCGGCTCGGGGTAGATGGCTGACGGAGTACTTGGAACGGAAGAGTGCTGCTTCTTCTGCGGATACGTGGGAGGCGCAATGAAAGTCGTTTGTTCGGTTGATGTAAGTTATTCGTAATTATTTGGACAACAAAGTGATACTGAACGTACTCTTTAGATCTGGTGCTTTGCATGCTTGTATATCTGTACATTTGGTGGCCCGAAATGCATCTCAGGTAGGATATACTTCCAAGCCCTTACATGTATTTCTTGTGCCACTCTCGAATGCGTTTCCTTCTGATGTATTCACCACCACTTATGCTTGACCGCACCATGTAGCTAATTTAGGGGCATGGAGACAAGAGAAACGATTGGTTTGAGATACCCAGCCCCTACGAGCGCAAATTTCGACTGACTGGCTTTCAAGTGCCCCGCTCGCAGTACAGCCTGTTCATCTCCAAAAATAGATCATGAAGAAGGCAAAAAAGAATGTGGACGAATGGAGGATCGAACTCCAGACCTCCCGCAGCGCTTGTAAGATGCAAAGCGGGCGCTCTACCACTGAGCTATACGCCCGGATGATGTCATTGAAGACGATGACTAATTTTTGAAATAATTACTATCATCTACTAATGGGAGACTGGTGTCTCCAAGCAGGCACAAAATGAGATCTCGGAATAGAAACTCTCCAGTTCTCTAGAAAGTGGGCCTTGTGGGGTCGACAGGGTGGTGGAGCCGAAGTCTGCCGGTGACATAGTTCCTGCTTGACGAGACTCACGGGCGACCGCGAGAACACATTTCTTATGCACAACATGTTCGAGCATGGGAATAATCTCTACAGATTGCTCAACGTCTTCAATCAATCTTTCTCTGTCACAGTTGATATGGTGGGCGATCACTGACTCTACTACAGCTATTTGCCGCCAAACCGCCATCAGCACACACCATGAAGAGAACATCATAGCAATGAAACAGACGCATGAATAGAAAGTAATGAACATTTCGTCACCAAGTGAGGGTATCCTAAGCGACCTTTGCGTCCGTGAAACTTTACTCGACGGCTAAAACTCCCAAAACACCAGCAATTACAAAAATAGCGGAGGCAGTCCAGGCCGGTCCGGTCTCGCACAGCGCACCATTCCAAAAACACCCCGAAACCTTTTTGCCATTAACACATCCTACCAAGGTGAGATCAACACGCACTCCGAAACGGTGTCAGGCCAGATGTCTCACTGCCCGCCTTAAGCGTCCGGAATAGTAAGCTGACCCTTAGTCCACTCGCCACCCTGAATCGGCCGCGTGAAAGCCGTGATGTCGTCGCCATCCGTTTGATAGAACACATACAGACTGTCCCAAATTGTTCGGTTGCCTTGCTGCTCCCTGTACGACGTGACAGACAAGTGCGTACCGCCGAGACCAAGCGCTGGACCTCCGCCGTCGCTGAGCACAAAAGCCTCGTCGGCCGAGTATGTCGTGTTCTCACCCTTGTAGGTGATGTTGTAGCCCTTGAAGCTGCGATCAGCCATTTGCGCGTAGAAGTATGTCGTGAAGCCAAGCGATGTAGATGGGTAGACACCTTGGATCGCGGCCTTGGTGGCGTTTTGCCACGAGTTGATAGGGTGGTTTTCAGCAGAAGAAACGCTGGTGTTGGTGTCTTTCCAATAGAACTCCACGTCGTTGTTCTTGTTCGCCATCATGGCGTACGTGGTTGTGCCTTCGCCCCAGCTGTAGCAACCGACGCCAGCGTGAGTATTGAAGCCTCGCCAGGTCTGAATGGGCACCCAGACATCTTGGCCGTTGTACCATGCGTACTGCTGGAAGGTGTTATCGTCGACGGCATACCAGATATTCATACCAAGACGGTCCTCAAATGGCTGTGTGTTGACGTTGCCAGTGAGTGTTGGAAACTTGGTGTAGTCAGAGTCGCCATAGTAGTTACCCTTCCAGCAGGCTTGAAGACCGGAACTGGGCGAATCCATGGCCTTGAGATTGAGCTTGCTCAGTGGTCCAGGCTGCCAGATATCAGATGTGTTTGATTTGGTCGTTTGTCTGACAGTGTTGTTCTGGTCGATGTAGAAGATGTGGAACTGTAATGATCAATACGATACTTCAGATTAATGAATGAGATAGCTTACATATGCTGTACCGTTCAAGTATACAGCGACTGCTGAAAGTGGAGTTCCGGCTTTCGCGTCAGTAGTGACGGTCTCTGATTTGGAACCACCAACCCACTTCCTGTCGGTGTTGTATTGCATGTACCTGATATCCCCAGTATGATGCTGGAAATAGAGTGTGAAGATCCGCTTCTGGCCCACGTTCCATGATTCTCCAGCCAGTGCGATTCCAGTGCCATTGTAAGCACCCTTCTTCGAGATGTACTTAGCGTCTAATGAACCGCCGATACAATACTGTGGGTTGCTTCGGCAGAACGGATCTCCAGATGATGAGCCTCTGTGTCATGTTCAGTTACACACGCTTTAGTGATAGACCAAGGGTACAACATACGAGTTCTTGTTCTTTTTTAATCCCAAGCCAAGTCCTAGCCCAAGGCCCAGAGCTAAGGCGAGAACCCAAATAAGAACACAACCAACTAGTATAAGGAATGTCCGCCTCTTCATTCCGCACCTTCTAGCTTCATCTTTTGGTGGTACTGGCGGCGGGACCTCTCCAGATCGCGAGATAGGGTCGTCATGATCTACATGCTCTTTAAACGTATACGGCCTGATTTGAGGCGATGCGAGAGAACCGCCTCCGTTAGATGAAGGCGAGAACGGTCGGCCTCCATGAGGATAATGAGTAAATTGTCCTGGGACTACTTGTGGCCCCGAGTAGTCTGGTGTGTTGACGTCGTTTGTCACAAATGTCCCTTCTTTTTCCGTGGAATATCTGTCAAATCGTCAGTTGACCGCACCTTACTTAATCAAACTACAAGCCAGCTTCTATAGACAAAGAACTGCTTGCTACGTGTAAGACTGTGCGCTTACCCTTCTTGATATCCAGCCGGCGGTTGCATGTGTTGCTGTGTGGGTGTTTGATGGTACTCCTCTTGGTATTCGTGCAGTGGTGGAGACACCTGAGGGGGAGAATTAGGATGTGGAGAGTAGGTCCGCGGAGGGCTTTGACCGATGTGCATTTCGTCGTATTCCTGGAATTGTGGTGGGGGACTCTGCGGAGGGCTCCATTGGCGATCTGAATAAGTCGGTTGACTGCCCATATTGTCTCGATAATCGTTGCGTGGATCCATCTCGGCGAGCGAAGAGGTCGAAGGCTAGGTTCGGGGTAGGTAAGCCTCTTAACGAAGCTGCGCGACCCTGGGTGGTGCAATGGGGCATGGGCAAGGGTCATATGCCTGATGCGGCTGTGTATCGACGCAGTACGGGGTGTCGGCCCATAAGAAATCATCTCAAAAGACCAGGGCAAGCTGAGATGCATACACGATGCGCTTTCTTGCATCTAGATTGCCGGGTCCTTAAGAAAGCGTACCAGTCGTTCATCCGTAAGCAGGCAGTTAATATGTAGGGTCTCGCCAGACAGCCAATCGAAGGGCGCATCCTGCAGTAAGCATGTCATTTGTGGTATAGCGGACTGACGATCCTTTGTGTGATTCGTGCAGTGTCAACGCCGATACCCACTATTGTGTAAGTCGGGAAGGCGCCTCGCTGCAGCGTAATCAAGAGGGCGGATGTGGTGCGAGCCTTCTCGAGTTTCCATTGTAGAACGAGCGCTCGATCCGCGTGCTACATTGCCGACTTCATCATCAAAGTCGCCACGAGACAAAGGAACCTATACTATCATGGATAATGATGTTTGAAAACGAGCTGAATTGCAGTCATGACTTCGAGCCAAAGCTCAGCCCTGTCTGAAGGCTGAGAGCTGAGCTAAGATGACGCTGATGATTCGCCAGGGCCAAGTCATCCTGCATAAACTTAAGTGCTCCGCCCGACCAGAGCAAGGTCGATCACACCTCAGCATTTTGAGATCATCTCCCGCTGGTGGCTGCGAAGAAAAACGGTTGTCCGTTGTGGCGTGCTTAATGAACAAGCCTTTCGACTCCCGTTCGACAAAACAAGCGCAGTCTTGTTGCTGCTCCACAAGTTCCTTCAACCTTTGATTGCGAGATGCTTGTGACAATCTTGAGACAGTACCGGCAGACACTTCATGCCGAAATGGATGTGCTGACGCGCATCTGCGTCCGGATCGTAACACGGCCGTGAGATAGACAGCAGTCGATGTCGGGACAAGGGAAGCTCTGCTTTTGGGTGGTCTTTTCCCTGCGACCACTCGGCTTTGGCGAATAATGGTTTCCCTTACTTACCGATAGAAGGTCAGGTCGCCGTTCATCTCTAGATTACGGTCCGCCCATGGGCATCCGCTTCGACGGCCTACTTTCAAAGAAGCCGCTCAAAGCCACAGTCAACGCCAGGGCTAACAAGTCAGTGATGTGCTCAAACAATGCTGACGGACGCCACTGGACTGAGACAACGTCAGCCAACGCGATCCAGGACACTCCTTTAAGATTGCCAGCAACGCTGAAGGGCGCGGGACGGCTGTATGTCCTCTTTGCAAGTGAGTATTTTGCCCGCTCGATGACTTGGGTGGTGTCGCATCGACACTCATGAAATAAGCTACCCCTACCGGCTCCCGTAGAGCTGACTAAAACTGACGTTCTGGTGTTGTGCGATGGAGATGTGTATTTCTGGTGGTCAGTAGTCCCTGAACCCCACAGAGCTAGCCACGCGCGACGGTGCATCCCGGACCCAACCCTGCTTTCTTCGGTGTCCAAGGACCCGACTTCAAGGGTTCTGCTGAAGACAAAGCAAGTTCATCGTTCATTGTCTTGCAATAGGCAAGAAGTGCCGCGTGACTGGCGAGATAAGTCGTCGCGCGATTCTGGACCACACTGCCGATGGGGGCCTCCTTGTGGCGCCTGGCGAGCTCTTTCGCCATGACTGCCAATACCACCATTACGATTCTCGAGACGAAGGGGCTTCGCTTCTTTTATGCAAGCCAGTAGTGAGTGAGCCAGTCAAGTAACAAACGTAACGAGCGCAGACTGACACATCACGACAAACAAACAGGCTCGCATCTGTGTGCTCAGCTGTGTGTAATGCGTTCTGTCACTGGACATCGTACGAAGCCACGACATCACGCTATCACTTAGCTTTTGCGCCCCCAAACCGACGAGTCTGTCATACTGATATTGTGACCAGCTGCGAACACGCTTCCTCGCACCTGCTGCGGCACCTCGGGGTACGATCCAATCATGAGCAGCTGAGTTTGCGAGACATACGAACCGTCCAAGATACTCAATGCCCACTCTCATGGGACGGCAATGAAAGACTCGATGTCTTATCTCGGTGCCTTATTGTACTGCCTGTAATACAAGAAACCTGACTTCCACATCTGCAAGTCATCGCAGTGGACGTAACATCAAGGGCAGAGAAAAGAAGTCGTATGCACTCGTCCTGATCGACAAATCAATGCGATGATAACCAGCAGAGTCATTATGAGGACAAAACAGAAGAACTGACCACAAGTATATGCAGTATGATTATGATTTATCTGGCGTGTGAACT